AGGAGAGGTGATATCTACGATTAACTTCCCACTCTTCAATACCTATTAGTACCTTCTATTCACTTTTAACTGCTGTCCTCCTCCCCTTCTTGGAACACCACTGAACTTTCAGCCCTCAAAACCACAAGTCTCCAAAGCTGCTTTACCCTTCTCCGCAACTAACAACCCTACTTACTTCTGGAACATCATCTGCCATCATTGCAAAACTGAATTTTGCCATCATCAAGACAAAACTAGTTACATTGTTTCTTGTTCCTGGAATTGCAAAAATGTAATGCCAACTCTCCAAGAGAAATTCTTTTCATTATAGGAAGTTCAGCACATAACCACTAGAGCTAGTATTTACTTATTCAGGCATTTATTTCATTAATATTGAGATTAGTACGACATTGTTTGAATCTAAAATCAAAGATTTTAATACACATTATGAAATATTGTGAGGCTTAATTCAATTCTGAAAGCAAGAAACTCGAAGTGTGGTGGTGGGGCAACAGTTAGGACATATCATTTTAAATACTAAAAGAAAGAGGAAAAAAAATCAAAAGGATCCATACACAAAATCAGGCATCATCACATTAAGCCACATTATTTAACATTCCTTTTTCAACATCTTATGAATACAAGCAAATTTTAAATGTAGTAGGTGCAATTTTTGAGATTCATATTATGTTCAGTCCTAAATTATAAGTACATCAAAATCACTGTTTGTACAATTCTGCTTAATTTAAAGGCAAAATTGTATGATGAATCTAGCATTAACATAAAATTTTAATTCTTATATACCTTAAAGTATTTTAAGGTTTTTAAGCACCATCTCCAAAAACAAGGGGACAGACACAATGAAGTATGCATTCTATTTTATATGAATGTGTGTGATATATGGGTCCAATATATAAAAACACCAAAATTAACAGGCAATATTAATCAGAATAAAAATAAACTCATCCCTCAGAATTAGGAGGGAAGAAACTAGCCCAAAATCTCAAGTTTACCTTTTCCTGTCTTTAGTAACTGTACTTTTCCTCATAATTTGGAGCTTTATAATTTAATGTGACATTTGCACAGGTACTCAAATGAAAAACTCCCCAAACATCAACAGTTACAGAAACAAATAAACAAAACAACATCTAATACCAGCAATGATTGTACTTAGGTTACCAAGCCATTTAATCCCAGTAAGGTGTTACTCTATGACTTAGTGAAGTTTCTTTGGATCATTACGTACTGATCTGTCAATGTTTTCTTCAGTATAAGCTTCCTCTCCTACCTTTCTAAAACGTCATTTAAACAGGGAGTCTATTTGGCCTGCTTTTTTACACACAAAAATATAATTCAAAATGAAATTATAGTATTAAGCTAATTCATTTTTAATCATGACTTCTTGCAACAACAGGAATACTGCTAAATAAAATAAGCACACTGAAGTCACTTTTTCAATAAAAATTTAAAAGACAGTTCCTAAAAAAAGGTGGAACAGAAACAAAGGATTCCAAAAGAAAAAATTTTTGGTGCTTTCAAAATAACTAGAGATTTGTTAAATTAGAAGAATAGATGTCAGTTGCCAATAGAAAAAAGAATCTATTTCGGAAAGAAGGATCGCACCACATCAACTATATTGTTCTTTAAAAAAACCAGCCTGTTTAACTTCCAGAAAGGGTTGATGATGGGAAAAAAAATGTGTATAACCGCAAATAGAATTTTCCATCAGCAATGCAGTATTACTGCAAATGCGACTGTGTGGCAAATCAAAGAAATGGCACGGGAAAAGTATGATCCAGTTCTTAGTGAATCATCAAAAACAGTTGTCTGTAGATAGACCAAACATCAGAAGTCTTATCAGCTAAACAATCTGTCCAAAGAATTAAGTTCCTACTCAGAGCACTAGAAGCCAGGCACTATTTTCCCTTCTCAAATTAAATGTTCCCTCTCCGATTAGCAAATAAGAGAACATCACCTACTAAACAGGAGTATTCATTTTGCTATTGATGGTTTTACACTATATTACAAATTGGGGTCTGGTAGTTTTAAAATGCAGCATTTATTCATTTCTACAACATATTGCAATGGGGCTGCAGCAAAATTTTAGATTTATAGGATTAAAATGGCCACTAATTCTGCATTATAGTCAAAAACATGTATTACCTGCTAGCACTAAATGTCTTGAAAATATGCAGCACCTCACATTTAGAGAAGAGCTGAGGTGTTAAAAGTTGAGATGAATATATGTATGACTATGTGATCAAAAAAAGGGAAAAAATAAGACTGACATACCGACAAAAAAAGAGATCAGACATACATTTGCACCTGTTTCCTTCCTGTCTAAATAAGCAAGGAATTATAAGGCTAAAATTGCATTTATGCAACTTTATGGTTGCAACACTGCATACAAGTCAAGAAAACTAAAATTACACTTCCCACAGCAATTTTAACTCAGCTATATTTTGTATGCAAAGAAGTTAGAATTACAGTGTGTTATTCTGCCTCTTAAATACTACAAACACCAAAGCGGGAATGTGGGAATCATAACTCTAATTTTACCAGCTTGTATGAATTCAATATCTCAAAGAGACCATTGCATTAAATATCCAAACAATTCTATAATACTAGTTAATAGCAATTTGTTTATTCTCTTTATAAACCCACTGCTGCCCCTTTACTGTCTCTGGTTGTTGCAGTAACATATGGAAACAGCATTAAGAATGTGAAAATACTACACGCTCTGTTCAGTCTTGATTTTTTTAAAGCTAATTTTATTTAGATGAAACACAGAACTTTTCTCTTTTACACAAGCATAGATGTGGCAACACTCCATTGTCTTCCATTGGTTAACTGCTAACACTATACCAAAGACTTGGAATTCTGCCCTCCCCCAATTAGGAGCAGTGATTATCACTCCCCTTCAATTCTTCCATTTTCAGTGCTACCAAATTAAGTATAAGGCTTTTTTCACACCTACGATGAAGAAAGTTTGTGACTGGTCCAGAACACAATTCACTTCAGCATGCTAACCCAACTCAGAAAACATCTGTAATATGCTTTATGTTCCTACCTGGTCTTTCAAAATACGTTTTTTGTATCAAAAAAGCCTGAAAGCATATTTTATTGAAACAATTTTGTGACAACAAAACTGTGGTAACATAACTGTCACCCTTGACTGAGGCAGAAATCAATAGGAAAAGATAAAGAATTACTGGCTTAGTTGACAAAGATTAATGAAATCTTCTCTCAGAAGTAAGCACAGTAACTTCACAAAAAACTAAAAGAGTCTAATCTAAATAGCACCTTGTTAAAGATCTGACTAACTGACTGGCTCTATTACCTCCAAACCAGCTTTTGAGAATTCCCTATGTCACAAGTGCCGAAGTCAGTTAATTAGTAAATATAAAGGTGCATGAAATAATGCATGTTCATGTAAAAAGCAGTTAGAACCATCTCATGAGGCATTTGTTTTACATATCATACTCAAATATTAACATAGAAATTTCATTTAAGAGGAATTAAGTCAATGCACACCTACAGCTTGGGATGCCAGAATCGGTTCAGTTGGAAGTCTTATCCTGAGAGTTCCCAAAGCTATGCCAGAGTTACCACTATAGTCTGCTTTTAAGCTTTTCAAGTCAACAACACTAATAACCAGCTGTTTCTACTGGAAAAAGAAATGCTAGCGAGACAGACATCTGTACTGTGTAGCTGCCAGATTTACTCAGTGTGTGGCCACAGGTGTTGACCCTAGTGTTGTAGGAGCCAAAGGAGAAAGACAAAAGGAATTGGCATTAAAAGCCGTACTAACAGAAGACATCCAACATTCAAGTTTCGTGAAAGTAATTTTAACTGTCAGCTCTTAGAAGCATGACTCACTTTTCTCCTCTGATTTGATTATGGCTATATCCAGAAGACAACAAGAGGAAGTACATGAGTTTTTCTACAAAGTAAGTTGAAGGTTATGACCCTTTCATTGTCATTCTTGAAAACTGTAGTACCTGTAGTACCAAAGAGGTATGATACAGACAGACTGATACTTGCAAACCTCACTAACATTTGTACTACTTAAATACTTCTGCTTGAAGAGCATTATGAAAGTATTAAAAAATAAAATCCACTAATTCTGTTGTCAAGAGTTCATGATGATCATTAACTTTAGCCAGTATGATACTCCATAGATCAGAAGGTTTTTAAGCAAAACTTGTTTTTATAACATAGCTAAGCAAACATTTCTTTCATTGAGTAGGATGTTACACACATAAACAAGAAAAAAAAAAGATTAGATGATTATATTACCGTAAGTTCTAGGAAGTACTGCAGCCAGGAATTCACTACAAATTACTACAGCAACCCTTAAGTACAAATGGGAAACAATGCAGTAGAGACTTAAAAACCATCCACAGCAGCAAAAGAATTAAGTGAAGCTGAATTACCAACAAGAAACTTTTTAAATGTTGTAAGTCTATAATATTTAGTTTGTCCTGCTACAACACTGGACAAAGACTGAAATCTTCAATGAAAAGTTTGTCTTGTATGTGAGACTTCACACGTGTATTTAATGAACAATGTTGATTTTTGCAATGGAAGCAATTTTAATTCCATTGTCTAGCATCTAATTACACTTCACAGATGTTTATTATGCAACACAAACTATTCCATATTCTAGTCAGCTAATACTTTACAAATAATTGGCCATAGCTACTCTAGAACACGCTAAGTCATACTGTTAAACACACATCTACTGTGCAAAGTGGTTTTCTTTTTCTGTTCTATGAAACAGATCATAATACGGATGAGTGATCTGAGTTACAATAACGTACTTATGCAAGTGGACTATTAAACCTATATTCTCACTAATGTCAAAAGTCAGGCTCTGATCTAAAGACCTTAGAAACTCTTTAAATTCAAAAGGCTTTGAAGCAGGCCTGTAGATACTTAACAGAATATTTATTGGACATAAATATACTCTATACAAACCCCTCCTGAAAAAAAGTAAGATATTACAAGAAAGAAGTTACCTGGAGTGTCTTGTAATGATCTTGATGTGAAATTACGTTTTCTTTTTTTTCCTTCAAGAAATCCATTTCTAGAATACTATGTTTTTCCAGTAAATATTCTAATTCCTATAAAGTTGACAAAATAAAATATGTGAAGTTACAAACATTTGCAAATTGTGAAAATACAGATTCAGTTAATCATTCCAACTAATTTCATTTCTGAAGACTATGACATTTGCTATCATAATATACACAGAGATAAAGGGCTGTGCAAGAAAACTCTGATTGCAGTCTTTGATTTTAATACCTTATACTTCTTAAAAATATTGTCTCAATTTAAAGGCAGGTCCTATAAGAAGTGGCTAAGGTCACTGGGTTTGTCTAGTTTGGGGAAAAGGAGGCTGAGGGGCGACCTCATTGCTCTCTACAGCTTCCTGAGGACGGGAAGTGGAGAGAGAGGTGCTGATCTCTTCTCCCTGGGATCCAGTGACAGGACGTGGGGGAATGGATCAAAGCTGTGTCAGGGGAGGTTCAGACTTGACGTTAGGGAACATTTCTTTACTGAGAGGGTGGTCAAAGCCCGGAACAGGCTTCCTAGAGAGGTGGTCAATGCCCCAAGCCTGTCAGTGTTTAAAAGGCGTTTGGACAATGCCCTTAATAATTTGCTTTAACTTTTGGTCAACCCTGATATGCTCAGGCAGTTGGACCAGATGACTGTTGTAGGTCCCTTCCAACTGGAACTATTCTATTCTAATTATTTCCATATTTTTAATAGCTTGTTCTGTCTTTCTGCATTTGAAAAGCAGCATATTAAATGTACTTTTAGCAAATGGTTTCACTAAAAAGGCAGAAATGCCATTACATACAGCCCTAATATCTCTACCTACATCTCCAAAATGAATTTTAAAATATTCTGAGATCGTGCAGACAGCCAGTCTAGAAGCCTGCCCAACATGAACCAACAGACAGGAAGGAGAATGACACTACTGACAAACTTCAAAATTATTTGCTATAGAAAGAGCTAAAGGTTTTTATTTTTTCTTAAAGCAGCTGTTGCTCCTACCAAACTCATTCCTACTATACATAAGCTGCTGGCACCCTTTCAGTTGCTCAAGAACAACTATTTCTGCAGCCATGCAGGAAGCTAGCATAGAAACAAATGACCTGCCAGATCACTGTACAGCTATTCAAACAAAGGCACAACTGAGAGGGTCATAAGGAGGACAGAAAGAGCAGGTCTGCTTAGTTCAATCCTGGATGAAATTGGACGAAATAATAAAAACAGTTCTTGAGATTCAAAGTCATTGATTCAACTGTAGAGACAGAAACTATTTGTGCAACACTTCTTCAATTCAGAGCCTAGCTCTCAACCTATCTCCTCTTATAGTCTACATTCATGCTTCCCTTCCAGCCCTCCTCTACACACTTAATTCATAGAAAAATCAATCCATTCCAGACCTCCTCATCTTTGACTCTAGTTACTCATCCTCATTTTCATTTCCAACAAGCCATTTCCTTCTTCTCTAGCACACCTTGATAGCTATCAAGGAACAGTATTAAGAATAGTAGGAATTAAACTTACTCTCCAATGCCTCAGTGACCTTTTGCTAACTCAGACACATAACTACAGGCATAGGCCTGCTTGGTACTCTATCATATTCAGGTCAGAAGGAATATGAAGAATTTAGTTACCAGAGCTCCCAGAAAAAGTGTTATGTTCATAAAGATAGCCAAAGGCACTTTCAACTTCAGTGACCACACACTCACTCCCAAAACATGGGGGAACCACTACACCTTCTAACCACGTGGCTCCATGCTAAGAAAACTTGTCTTCCCCCCCCCCCCCTTTTTTTTCCCCCACTCCAGGAAAAAAGTATTTTTTTCCTGAAACTTTAGAAAAATTCAGCCTAAAATAGACACCAGACATGAAGAAAAAAAAATGTATTTTGGCTAAATTTGGCCAATTTCTCTGGAATTTGGCTAATTTCTACAAAAAATACATTGCAAATCTCTGCCAGCTCCAGCTATATCTAAATCCTATATAAATGCCAAACATTTTCATTAAAAAACTATTCATACCTTTTTAATTTTTAATTTTTCTTCTTCAGCAGTGCAAAGCTTGATTTCTAGGTTTGCAACAGCTTGTTGAAGGTAGCTCTTTGGTTCATTTGTTCTCTGTGTCTCAGCATCAACCAAAGCAATGGTTGATGTAACTGAAGTCTTGTCTTCAGTTACATTCAGAGAGGCAACTGCAATATCTGCTTGAATCTAATTCATACAAGAAACAAAACAGTAAAGGAAATGGTAAAGGGAATTTAACATTCCAGTCAAGTCAAATTTCATTTCCAGATGACATTACAGAACTTAAGAACTGTAAATAGTAAGGTTACTTTTTTGAAACCACACTTCTCTGAAATTGGCCATTCACACTCTCATATGTAGGGTGTGCTAGCCAAAAAGAAAGCTCCAACAATGGAATAGCAGCTAGTAATTCTAGACGGATTCACATCAATCCTTCTGATCTCCTTGACTGCTTTTCAAGAATGCTTTAGGAGAAGGCTTTAAGAAGGAGGATGGCACAGATACCTCAGTTTCCAATGAGGTCAAAATACTCAAAAGAGGTGAAAAGAGACAGAAGGGAAACTGAATCATCGGTCTCAAAGCATCAGGCTTACAGGGAAATAAGCTCTCCTTGGATTAGTCACTCCACTTTTTCACCCAATACAGACTGCAAACAGTAGCCATGGAAAGGGAATACAAATTTTTTTGTGTTAAAATAAATAGCTCATCTTGAGGCTAGACCAACAGAATAAGAGTAATTGGGACATGTCTAAAACATTTAGTTAATGCCATTTCAGTGAACCGTAGAAGTACAAAAACTGAAATGGAGGCTTCTAGAATACACAACCCAAAACAGATGAAACACTGATAATAAGCCCATATTCTCAGAAAAGCACAAAAATAAAGTAGGTGAGGTTTAAAATATTTTGTGGTATAATCAACAAAAGCCTAAACTTTTTTTTCCTCCTTTAAAAAAAAAAGGCAAAAACTTGTTTATATCACAGCAAAGGAACTTCAAAGGAAAAAGCGGTAAATTAATTTCAGCTGCCACATTTTCAACAACAATTTGAAAGCCAGGGGCACTTGAGATTTGGGGAGGGGTGGTGAAAGGAACATCTCAATGTGTTTATTAAGAGAGGTTTGACTGATCTGATTTAATCCATTCCCTTAGCACCTTTTATTCCAAACAGACACTCAAATAATAGATTGATTTTTCAATAAATAAGTATCTCTTGAAGGATTCAAAGAAGAAACAAACAAAAATAGCTGAGATCTTGACTGTACGTGGATACATAAGATCCAGTAGATAAAACAGCCAGAAAGAAAACTGCAGTTTGTGCTCTGAATTCCCCTTCTGTAAGAAGCGAAGAGAACCTAGATGTGCTAATTCTACTTCTGAGTACTACTCAAGATTAGAGCCTGCCACTGCCAAAAATTGTGATGTTGGAATCTGAAAATTTGAAGTTTTTTTAACATGAAACCTCAAGAGGCTCTGGAGACACAATTATAGCAGAATACAGTTCTCCTAACATCCTCCTCTAACAGGTGTAAGAATATTTTATTATAGTTTTATGCCCACCATTTCACTTTAGCTTTATCCAAAAGTGCAAAGTCTGATCTCCATTTCAAAATAATGTTAAAGGACCTCCTCTCAACTCCCCTTCTCCCTTTAGTAACACTTGCTAATGTTGTATTCTTTAGTTTTAATTATTTCCTGCATTAAAGAGAGAGTTTATAGAACCACGGGTCTGTCAGTAGCTGATCAGAACAAGATGAGAAAGACTGAAACATGGCCTACAACTAGAATTTGCACACATAATTATCCAGAAGTAGCAAAGTGTATTTCTTATTTTTAGTAAGATTACCTAACCTATTTTAAAAAATATACCTAAGCCTCAGTATTCTGGAATATCCAAAGTGCTCTTTCCAGAGAGCACACAAGCTAAAGTTGCTGGCCTAGCTCAAACAAGAAAGGATACAGGTTATTCACATTTCACCGTTAGCCAATATCAAAAACGGTAGGATCTGTTGCGGCTGAAGAAAAGCATATTTGATCATCCTGCCAGTAATAGAAATTTATTTACCAAAACATTGTCAGAGAGGGAGATGAAGAGCTTTAAACACAGAAAATGACCCTGGCTGGCATCAGTCAGAGAAGCAGCAAACACTCCCCCCTCTCAAGAAAAAAACCCACAGCTTTTGGATTTCTAAGAAAATTTCTTAGGTATTATCTGCATCTGGGCACATCTCTTCTTCACTTTTTGTAGGGTTTCCCCAGAACATTAGGCTGGGAACAAATACAAAACAGTAACTAATTCATTACTAAGACTGAACTATTGGAGCTGTACTAGCCACAGTCTTTCTGGAAGTATGAACATATAGATGCTGCTCAAAGGAAAAACAGTAACAGTCAGTTTAATCAAAACAAGTATTTTTTACAAGTTGTACCATGCTTTTAAATGGTCAGATTATGGAAGTCTGACTGAATCGTGAAATTCAACTTTCACCATGAGTAGCCCTAGGACTTGATGAGACTACCTGAAGAATAATAAACCAAGTAAATGCTGGAAATGGGAGGGTCGCAAACTAGCTCAAAATATTGATTACTTCAGAGAAACACAAGAGCACTTTCTAATTCAAGTATATACTACTATGCATCCTGAAACAAGGAACTTTACAATCAATAAACTTGTTCAAATACATGTCACTACAATCAATGGCAATAAAAATTCACTTGGGAGGGTAAATCTATTTAATTCTCATCCACAGCAATCTTGCATTCTTGTGCTAATCTCCAGGCAGAAATTCTTCTCCCTCCCTTGCTCACCTAATTGTTTAGTTAAAAACTAAACACTTTCACCCCCAAAAAAGAAGGTAAGACCAGTTCTCAGCAGTATTGCAGCCACAAGGAGAGATCAAGATCACACAACTAGGACCGCGTCAGATCAAAAAAAAAAGTTAAAAATAAACTTTAAAAGTAATGGGGGGAAAAATAAAGTAAAATATAATAAAATAAAAAATAAAACTGAAATTAATTATAATTAAGTAAAAATTAAACGTTAATTCTCTAATCCTAAAGCCACTTGAGAAAACATACAAGTATGACATATATGTCCAGCCATAATCTTTACAGCTTTAACAATAACATTTTTTTTAGAGAACCTTCCTGCTATTGTTTCCTACTTTCATGCCTAGCATTATCAGCATGCCTTTAACTTTTCAAAGCTCTTTTACACACTCACCTCTCTTGCAGACCATACCAAAGTAGTATGGTGTATCCCAGTTATAGGATTTAAACATAATTTAAAAATTATTTTACTTCAAAGTCTGTATCACAGAAATCCAAGGACCACCTTTTGCTCTTAAAAGGCAATTCAATCTAAATTTGCACGGAAAAGGTACAAAGCTAAGACATTCAATACATCAAGTTCCCATACTGAAACACAAAAATTGTGGTTTTACCTGTTCTTCAAGAACAGCTGGGTTTATAACATTGTTGGCTGTTTGAATAGCTGTTGCCGCGTTATCGGTTGATAAAGTGAATGAGTCAGAAGGAACCAGGCAGGAAGAAGGCATAGAATGCTCCAGAAGAACATCGGGAGATATATGGACTTCAGATACTAATGCAAGAAATAGAACAGAAAATTCACACACAATATGAAGAAGCATTCAAAAATTACTTCTGTTTCTGAAATCTATACCTAGCAAAACCCATCACAGTAGCAACAAGTATAGTCATACTAATGTAAGGTTATATACCTCTAACAATCTAATTGCACTGAAGAATAATTCCATAGAAATTCCTGTATTTTTGAGTACTATCAACTTAAGGATATTCAAAATTGTAGTCACACTAAATTTAGACTTGTAACTTACACAGAGCTTTCACAAGACAACTGCCATCAAAAGCAGCAGTTTTAACTTTTGTCTCTTTCCACTCACATAACCTTTCAGCTTCAGCATGATCTTTAATCAATTTAAGTTAACCATAAAACCGTACTTACAGTTTCCTAAGTTTTATAAATTTTAATGATAAAAAAATCCTCAACTGTCTTAGAAGACATATACAAACAGCTTACCCAGACACGTGATAAAGGCAGTTTTACATTTTATAAGAGATCAAAAGATAACAAAGTAAATAACTCTCTAGCTAATAAAAGTTAAGTGTAATTAATTCTGGAGAGACACCTCTTCCATAGCAATTTCCAGTTATGCCATAGAAATGCTGAACAGTGGATCATCATTACCAACCCGGCACAACAGAAACTTGAGCACTTTTACGAAAGATTCCGACATAAACTAAATAAAAAGAAAGGAGAAGAGAAAGCTTTGCATACACTTTTAATTTAACAGCAAAGTCCTGCAAACTTTGATATGGTCAGCTACATGCATGCCTTTGCAGTAGACAAAAAAGTATATCCAATTGCTTTAGAACAAGCAGCTCACATTATCGTTACAAATCTGGTAAAATGTAAAAGATGCCACTATCCCGGAGCAAGGCTCAGTCTCTCAATACCACTGTTTAATACTGCACAAGTATGCATACATAGTGCAAACAAGTGTATACGTTGGCCTAAAAGCATTCAAAAGGACACACTAATCCTTGAATCCAGGCACTCTGTGTCCCATCTCCTCTACCTCCCAGTTCTGGGATTCAGGCTAATATAGAGGAACATGCAAACCTCATCTAACAAAAAGAAGAAAGAAAATAGACTACGAGAAAGAAAAATATCAGGATGCTAACTGCAACAACAGTAGATTTGGACATGTGGGGGGAAAAAAAGAAAAAAACAACAGCTGAGCATAAAAATGGAAGCTTGGAAGAAAAGCCTAGAGGACAGTACTTCAGCAAACAGAACAGGAACCAGTTTAGGTAACCAGGACAAAATAAAACAGGACTGGGACACAATTGCATCTTTAACAGTTCTCCAGAATTGGAATTGGGACTTTCAAGGCTTCCTTTATGTTCCATAAGACATCTGTGAAACCCACCGAAGAATTCTATTCATCTCTCTCCTACCCTTCCAAATGTCTGCTTACAAAGACAGTTTCCTATAACCATTACCTACTCTGTTAGTTCAAATGACAGATGACAGAGAAGATGACCTTTTTGCTTCTAAGAAAACAGTAAAGTCTCAGTTTTATGCTATCACTTAATACCCTGAATTTCAGTTTGAAATCAATTTCCAACAGATGGAAAGCCAACTAAAATAATGTACCAGGCAATTCTGACTGAGCAGACAGGCTGTTTCTCTGACTAAAACTGTCAACTCACAAGGAAAAACCTAGCATGACACTGATCCTTGTGGTGTTAGCATTCATCCTTTGGTGATGATCACCACAGTGTAGGCATAGTTCCCACATAAATAAATTATCGCAAAAGTAAAAAAAAAGAAACTGAGTCTGAATACAGATGAGGAATGGAGACTCACAGAGATTAAAGCTTAAGATATTAACATATTTTAGGGTATCCAATGCTAGACATAAGACTTCATTTTTCAGATAATAAAGTTTTATGTGGAACCTTCTACAATCAAATTGAGCTTTCAGTTATTTCAGTTATAGTAATGAACGCTTAGCATTTTGAGGGGCAAGAAAAAACAGAAACAAAACCCCCACCTCCTAAGTTGTCAAAAGAAAGCCTAGGAAACGAGGAGCAACAACTGGTGACCACCTCTGAACACTATGGTTTAAAATTATTCAACTAAATACATGACCTTGCAGAAGACAAGAAAAGGCGGCAATTTTCCAAGTTATCATTCAAACACCTTTTTTACAAAGCCTTCTTTTCACTTTCAGCAATGTTAAAGATTCATAAATGAGACTTTCCTACAATTACATGTGCTATGTCTGTAATTCAAGCTCTCTTAATTCATTCCTCTTGTGTATATACTGGTGAAATTGCATTAGCATTTTAGTTCAGCTCAAAATTCGCTTATGAAGACGACCCCTCAATCATTCCTGCTTACCATGCCTTAGTTATCATAATAGAACAGTTTCAGAACCCCTGAAACAAAAACTTGCCTCTGATAAAACTACCTGACTGGACTGGAAAAGCAGTATGTACTCAATTACAGGTATATCAAAAGTCATGTGCTGAAGAAGGTTGAAATAAGATGCAGATATAAGCTATTGCCAGAACTGTAGTTAAAAAAAAATCTGGTAGTTTCTGAACCGTTGACTTCCCAATATTAAGAATATTCTATCATAGGTTTGTATGTAAGAACTGACAAAAAACATGCAGTTTGTTAATAGAAGCAGAGATCAGTAACAGCCCGCAATCTTGCTCACACAAGAAAAATTCTCTATCTCTATCCTAGTAATGAAGCTCAAACAATTATTAAAATCACTGGGGGATCAGAAATTCTGAAAACAAAACCAAGTGGATGAATATGAACTGTTAAATCAACAATCCATGAGTGGTATATAGAAATATACCACTGAAAAAATAAACATGAGTAACATTTACTAATTGGATGTTATTTATATCCAGCAATTAAGAGATGATATGTGAGCAGGGATCTGAGAAAAAAAGACCATATAATAATTCTTTGACATACTTTTGTAGAACATTGCAAACTACTTGCAGCACAGTTCTCCTACATGTACATTTCAGCTGTTAAGAATAAACCCAAGAAACAAGAACTAAGTTTCCATCCTCAACTACCCATGTCTTTGATGATACAATTCAATGACCCTTTAAATTATACTGTATACACTATAAACTGTATCACTGAACATTTTCAGTTAAAAAGTAACATTCAGATAGAAAGTTTAAGACTGCTTTTGTGTGTCCAAATTTCAGTGATCTGCTTAAATCCCACCCCTACATATGGTTGCTCAAGCACAACTATAAGAGACAGGAAACTGTATTCTACAAGGCAGGAATTTCTGTCAACTGTAACGTCAGAGCTAGAACACAGGGATCTACAGCCTGCATAATGCTGAATAAGCAGCTTAGGAAAAGATAAACTGAAAATTACTGTATTTACAGACATCAACCAATTTACTTTTGCCAATACACAGCAAACTAGCACACAACAGAATATGTCAAATGCATTCTAAAATATATAAGTAGCAAACACCTAATAAAAGTAACCTATCATTGTCAGTGGAAACACTATCAATAGGAAACACTTGGCTGCTTCTCTACACATACCAGTTTACAGCAGTACATTAACATATAGAGAGGAAGAAAAACCACTTTGATGTGCTTTCAAGATGATTTCCTATAGTTCACAGCAGAAAGCTCTTCCCCACATTGTATTCTTCAAAAGACAAACTATTCTAGAAAATAAGTAATTACATACACTATTACAGCATCTTAAATCTACGGCCATATGAAAATACTAATTTTATTTCCTAACTTCTTATTTAAGTAAAACTTATATACAGCTACCAAAAGTTTACAACACTGCAACCATTTAGTTGAACCTCAGAAACAAATCTTTCAGTATTCAATGACTACACAATGTAAGAAAACCGAGAGCTCATTCCCATCAGTTCTGGTTTGGTGGGGTTTTTTGGGTTTTTTGTTTTGTTTTGTTTTTGTTTGTTTGTTTGTTTAAGAAATTGGTTTCCAGAAAACTGCCAAAATATTCAGTCAATATGACTGTCTTTTAAAGCAGTTTGGCAACGGTAAGGAAACAAGAGAGGAGGTGGTACGTAATCTAATAAACATGCAACAAGACAATCTTTTAACCATTTGTAAATTCTACATAGTCAAATCTGAAAAGTTGTATGACTCATTTTCAAAGCAGCATACCCCAGGTAATGGAAATGTTAGCAAATGAAAAGAGACCATTCCAGAGTTAAATGAGGCTGTATACCATTATCAACAAAGACTTTGAACCCTGTCCAATCATGGCAAGGAATGAAACCAGTTCCCTCCAATCTCCTTAGGGATATATTAGTTTCCTACTACTATTTCCCACCCCTCCACCACACCACCCCTCCAAGTCAAGATGTTCGTTTTCTGCAGAAAACCAAAATTTATTATGAAGAGAAACAACTGAAACAACAGCTGAGGACAGCACCCTTCAAGCCATGCAGATGTCTGCTTAAATGTCTGCACACTAGTACAGATCACCCCATCTCATATTATATAGACTTCAAAGCATCTGTTCTTTCAAAGCTGCAAACAAGACCATCAGAAATACTGAATTCTCAGTTGAAACATGAAAAATAGGCTTTGCATACATGAAAAATAGGCTTTGCATACATACAGTCCATCTGCATTGTTAATGAAAGAATATTAGGACAAGGAGAAAAATCTTCTCCGGTAATTCAGAGGATGTTCTGTTATTCAAGTAGGCATTGAGAATTCTTACAATGAGACCAAACACAAAACTTAGCCAAATTAAACCAAAAGGTAAATCAAGAGCTTCAAAATTATACATGCTACCTCCAGGTCTTCTTATAGAAAGTAAGCATACTGACATGACACAAAGTATAGAAAAGATTCCCAAAAGAACTTAAAAAACAAACAAATAAATAGAGCTCTTCTGATGCACCTTTGCTCCAGGAAGTACACAAATAATGTTTCAGTCAAAAATTAATAAGTAAAAAAACCTTGGATCAATACAGACTGGAGGCCACATATAAAGACTAACAATTTTTC